GACCTCGTCGTTCTAATCCTTCACACTCGTTATTGTAATCATGCTCATAAACGCACTTGTAATGTAAATAACTATTATGGCACTCTTCATGAACTAGTTCACCAACGGAACAATCCATTTTCGAACTATTCGACATCTTTGAATAATTCTTTTTACAAAATACCGCCAAAGATTACCGTCTATAGTAAAGTACTTAGACCTTGTTTTGAAATTTCAACATTGCAAAGAAATGATCGCGACAGGGACGATATCATTTAAAAATTGTGTGTAAACATAGGATTTTATGTTTATGTTTAAGGACCTAAAAATAGGAACAATTTTTCAATTGAATATATTTATTTCGTTTTGGTTTATCTCCACTTTTTCGAGTATTTTATACACAGACTAGTGTTGCGTCTGGCTAATACCGTTTTGCTGGTAATTTCTTTTGAACCGGCCCTACGTGTATACCGATAACAACATATTAATACACTTCTACCGTAAAATATAACATCATAACTTTATTTACTTTAAGCTTAAATATGACTTATTCAATTTTATTCTCGATCTTTTAATAATATACATCAACATTATTCCTTAATATTAGATCTTCTTGTTGGTTCTTGCACCTCTGGAGGATTCAGCAAACCATTGTTATTTGCAGCTCCTCCAGACTCCGTAATATTGCCAAGAAAGGCAACTATTTCTTCTCTATATTGTTGGCGATTTGAAACCCGTCGTCCATGTATAAATGCGACTAAATTTACTTCGGTCATTTGGCGCAAAGCTGGCCTAAAGTGCCTATCAAAAAAGGCCGATCATGTATTGTTCCATTTCGCTTCGTTCTGCAATGACCAACCTGCCATTATTTTCGATTATAACAGAAGGATTTTCCTTATTACAAAGTAAACTAGTGATATGTCACTATGTACGAAGATCTTTACCATATTAGTACCGACGATCGGTTATACCCAACTAGCGAAAGCAACTGGATTCCCATCCGAACATCAATTTCAAAACACAAGAAAAACTATTTACTATTTGTTTTTTCTCTTTTCTTTAAGATTAATGTAAACGTTCAAAATTTTTTCTCTCTCGGTAATTAAATTCAGCCAAGAATTCAGCTTATGTTTTGCTGTGCATGTTGTGATACCTGTTGTTTATGTTTATAATTTTT